GTCAGAGAAGGCCGTGGGCCTCCTCCTGTCCTGTCAGAGAAGGCCGTGGGCCTCCTCCTGTCCTGTCAGAGAAGGCCGTGGGCCTCCTCCTGTCCTGTCAGAGAAGGCTGTGGGCCTCCTCCTTTCCTGTCAGAGAAGGCTATGGGGCTTCTTCTGTCCTGTCAGAGAAGGCTGTTGGCCTCTTTTCCATTGGTTCTCTGGAAGGTGGGAAGAGCCACGAGGTGTGGTGTGAAGCACACAGGCGTTCTCACCCTGCCCGTGGAGACTGGGCCCTGCCAGTCTTTCCCTGATGAGTCTGAAAAAGTCACAGGCAGACACCTGCTTACCCCTTTGGCTTTGGGGTGAGAGTTTGTCTTGCTGGTGCCACTTCTGTAACTGTCCCCACTGTGGTTGAAACCATGGGCAGTTGGGGTGAAGCAGACGAGAATGCTGTCTTCAGGACAGTGTGGTGACCTGGGGCAGGCTGACCCTGGGAGGCAGAGGTGTGGCAGTGGGGCCAGCAGGTTACTTAACTGCCCTGGGGCTGTATCCTCACTTGTAAAATGGGAACACTGGGGCAGGATCATCTGCTTAGACCTCCAGGGGTAATATTCTGTGGTTCACTTGCTCTTAAATCCTATCTGAAGCAGGTTGTGTTGAGGAAATAGCTGCCGTGATTTTTCTTGGGGACATCTAGACAGTGGGGAGCCTGGTTCGAGTGGCCTTAAGGAGGTATTGTTGATCCTGCCCCACTGGTGATGGTTCCCTGCCCCGGGTATGGTGGCAGGAGCTGCATCCAGAATTTGAGGGCACCGTGGCCGGATTTGCTCCTTCCTACCACCTTGAACCTGGACTTGAGACCCAGCAGAGCTGCAGGGGGCAGGTCTACGTGGGAGGTTGTCAGGCTAGCTGGAGGGCGTTCACCGTCCCTGAGTTCAGACCACAAAAACCCCAGTGTGGCTTGGGCGACCGCTGTGGGCACCAGGGAAAGTGAGTTCTCAGTTCAGACACCTGAACGGAGCTTCCTGTCGGCCAAGGTAGAATAAGCTGCTTCCTGACTGCTGCAAGATTTTCTTAGTATTTCTCTAGAAAATGAACCAATTTTTCTTTTTTAAAAAAAACCATTAAAGATTCAATTTTAATTTTGCGGTTACAAACAGAATTATCTTGTCTGTGTCAGCAGAAGTGTCGTTTTACACTGATGGACAAAACTTTGTAGTCTCGAACAGCTGCCACGAGGGTAGAAGGTGAGCACCCGTTTTCAGGATAACGTAAGGAAAGCTGACACTTTGTGTACTGTGCATTTCCCCAAATCGATGGTAGAGTGACCCTCTGATCAGTGACTGGGAACACTTACTGAATTGTCAGGGTCCCAGGTAAGAGGCCCGCTGTTAGGTCTCCATGAAGTAGTTGAAATCCGAATGGGTGCCGTTTTTTTGTTTTTTGGCCTGGAAACAGTGTTGTCCTGAGATTTAGTAGAGTAGAGATGTATTCCTAATGAATGAGGGAAGCACATAGGCAACTGCTGTCTTCCTGTCCAGAAACTTGTCTCACTTGAGTTGAAGCCAGAGAGCACTTCTGGTGTATATCCCATGCCAGGTGACAACGGTGTAGAACTGTGTCAATGTTCAGCTTGTTTTATTGCTAAGGTTGCCGCTCAGGCGTGGGGTCTGTGAGTGACCTTGATCTTGTAGCCCCCCCCCAGCCCTCCTTGTGTTGCCTGAGGGTTGGGGTCACAGAGTGTTTCTGCTTCGACTCTGAAAATGGCTTCCCCAAGGTCCCTGAAACCACGGTGTCACTTTTGCAGATGTGGAAAGCCTCTGCAGGCCACGCCGTGTCCATCACCCAGGATGACGGGGGTGCAGACGACTGGGAAACGGACCCCGATTTTGTGGTATGACTCTCCAGTCTATGTTTGTTTTCAGCTTTCCTTGAAGTAAGCTTTTGCTCGATCGGGTGTTGGTGGGTTGGTTGTTTTCCCATCCAGCGTGTGGGGTCTGCTACTTATTTCTTTTTCTTTTTAGAATGATGTGAGTGAGAAAGAACAGAGATGGGGAGCCAAGACCGTGCAGGGTTCTGGGCACCAGGAGCACATCAAGTAAGAGGCTTTGTTACTGCTGTAATGGAGTGTGTCACACAGGAGCGTCCAGCTCTGAGTGACCCGTGGAGTGCCTTCATGTGTTAGAACTGCTTGTTTGTCTTGTTGACCTGACATTTATATAGTAGGTGATATTAGACATGAGGAGCCCTGGTGGCGCAGTGGTTAAGAGCTTGGCTGCTAACCAAAAGGTCAGCAGTTTGAATCCACCAGCTGCTCCTTGGAAACTCTGTGGGGCAGTTCTGCTCTGTCCTGTAGGGTCGCTATGAATCGGAATTGACTTGGTGGCAACAGGTTTGGTATTAGGCATGAGGTGTGTGTGTTTGCGCGTGTGCGCGTGCACGTTGGGTGCCATTGGGTCAATTCCGACTCATAGTGACCCCGTGTGACGGATATACATACGTGTGTGTGTGTGTGTGTATACACACATTGTTGGGTGCCGTCAAGTTGATTTCCAACCCATAGTTACCCCATGGGACAGAACTGCCCCATAGGGTTTCCTAGGCTGTAATCTTTACAGAAGCAGATTGCCAGCTCTTTCTCCTGTGGAGCTACTGGGTGGGTTTGAATTGCCAACCTTTCGGTTAGCAGCTGAGTGCTTAGCTGTTAACACCAGCAGGGCTCCTGTATACACATGTGTGTATGTGTATGTATATATATGTGTACGTGTATGTATATATACGTATACACACATACTAACTTGGTTCCCGTTGCAGTCGATTTTTGCATTATTCTGGGATGTCTGCTTTTGAATATTGTGGTTTTCATCAAGGAGCAGTTACCTGAGCTCTTCTTTCTGCAAGTGGGAGGTTTCTAAAATACGGGCTGTGTTTGAATAAGGTGGGTCTTAACTCCTCTTCTTTATATTTTTATTGGCTGGAAATTATTGTGCGTTGCAGAATTTAATAGTTGTGTACTGGGAGCCGTATTCTAAGCATTGTGTTCTTACGAGAAGCCCCAAATAGGAAAACTGAGTGAAACCTGTCATTTCTGATGCGGCACTCTCTTTAAATGCCAACTTGGGTGGTGCTTTTTGTCAGGAAGTGTAGATCCTCTGCTTTTTCGGCAGGCTGAGACTTTTAGGCTCTGCTGGGGTCCGAGTTGACCCTGCCAGTCTGTAATGGTGAAGGCGTCACTGTGACCCGGTGGCCTGCTTTGGTGGCTTGGGCAGACTTCGTCTGACTTGACCCCAGTATCTTTGCAGTAAAATGAATTGTCCTTGGCTGGAAACTCTTCGGTAGGGCATGCAGATCAGAAGGCAGAATCTGCATTGTGGGTTTTTAAACTCCAGCATTTGTCCCTGTCTGATGTGTGTAGCCCCCACCCTGACACAGAGGCAGCTTGAGAATGTGAAGTGGCCCTGGGACCAGCCTGGAAGGCAGGTAGAAATGAGAGCGGGCCTGGGGCTAGGTGCAGTCCTGAGGGAGTTGTCCCGGGGTTAGGCCCACTCCCGAATAGTTCGGTCCCCTGTTCCTCTTCTCATTTCTTCTGTTCCCGTTGGTTTCGAAACACATTGGGAGGGCGGATTGGAGAACAGACGAAAGCCTTGGATACAAACAGCCTCTGGGTTGATTAGAATTCAGAGAGAACACGTGGGGATAGAGGAATTCTTGCGGCCCCCCCTTCCAGGTTTTGAGGAGCAGTGTTCTTCCTTCTCCTGCTCTAAGGGGGGCAAGTGGTTTTCAGAACACCTGGTTTTCTGTCCACACTTGAGGTCATTGTGCCAAGGTATGGGCTGGGACCCTTTGTTCCTGTGGTGTCTCTCGGGCAGAGAGACCCTGTGTTTAGGTGGCCCTCACGCTCCCGGGGTGCAGAGGGCTCTGCTGGTGAGAGCGGCCGACTCTTCCGGCCTGCAAGATCACCGTGCAATCTGTTTCACCCTCCCTATATTTCAAACACAAAATGGCTTTTAGATTGTAGATACTCAGAGTCTTTCCTTTTGCCTTCGAGTATGTAAAAAGCTGGAACACTTCCAGTAGAAGCCAACTCTGAATGGCACGGTCACTGGGCTCCCGGGTGTCATTGGGTTTCTGAGGTAGGACCTCTGACTGGTGTTTTCCCCTGCCTCAGGATGTAGCTGCACCACTAGCTCTCCTGACTCAGAAGCTTTTCTCCATACAATATAGGGGAACTTCGCATTTGATGGTTGCCTTTTAAGGGAAGGGTGTGCATATTCAGGCGAGTGCTCTTCCCCTCATTACACTTCCACGTGGCTCCATGCACTGCTGACGTGGAAGCTGGCAGGAGGAAAGCATGAAGAAGGCTTGGGGTTATGGAAGCCCCAGATGCCAAAGCCCTGGCAGACTCACGCAGGTCACGCAGCCTGCCCTCACATACCCTGTAGCAGGCAAGGCTGCACGCTGATTCCGCTGATGGTGCGTGTTTTCTCTCTCCCCTGGAAGCATCCACCAGCTGAGAGAGAATGTTTTTCAAGAGCACCAGACCCTCAAGGAGAAGGAGCTGGAGACAGGACCCAGAGCCTCCCACGGCTACGGAGGGAAGTTTGGCGTGGAGCAAGACAGAATGGACAAGGTGAGTGAGCGGCACTGCGCATGCCAGCGTCCTGGGCTGCTCGGTTGCTCAGATGGGTGCCCAGGAATCCCTCCTGCTTTTTCCCTAGCTGAGAAGTTCAGAGTCCGTGCTTGGAGGATCAGATTGGCCAAAAGTAGTCCTCTGTTGGTCAAACTTTATCAGGAAGTGCTCAGCTTGGGGAGACACTCTTGAAATGACACCATTCCAGGCCGAGGCTGGAGGAGGCTGAGGTGTGGGGCGCGCCCGGGCCGGAGATGGGCTCCCGGGGAAGCTTTGTGCTCAGGACGTGGGTCTAGGAAGCACCTTGACCACCGATGTCCTCGTCATCACCGAGTGCAGTTCCAACCTGCAGCCCAAACCCTTCCTGCCCCCACACCAGGAACAGATCGCTGGGCCCGCTTTTGTCATCTCGTGAAAATCCGCCCAGAAGTCTAGCTGGCGTGCTGTCAGCTGGCGTCCCGCCTGCGTTGGCTGACCTCCGAGAGCAGCCTGGCAGGCAGGTGGTGGAGAGCAGTCCTGATGAGGCTGGGGGGCTCCTCTCTGAAAGCTGACGGGCGAGCATCCTATGTGGCCCTGGCGGGATGCAGACTTCCCAGGAGATGCTAACGGAAGCTGTCGATTGATCCACATCCGTCTGGGGCAACCCTTCCAGCCTTGTCAGCTCCACGAGAAAGGGAATGAGTGTTAGCTTGGAAGGCTGATTATTATTATTATTTTAATTCCCGGAGAGAAGACAGAGTAGATTGCAGTGTGTTTGCATATTTTCCGGGAGAGCACGTCTGTAAATTCTTCAGACGTACTTTTAGGGGTGAATGTCCGAGTGTGAGCTGCGTGCCGCAGCCCTGCCTTGGCGACGGGTGCCTTGATTCTGTGTGTAAATGTGAGCGGCCCGGCCGGTGTCGGGTTCTGGTCTGTAATTCCATGCCTTCCCCTCGTGCGCGGGTCAGGTGGAACATCTGAGCTGGACAGGAGACGCCACGTCTCTGTGCCATTGAGCCCCACCATGCTCTGTCGACCGGCGGAGTGGGACAGAGGTGGGCCTGTGGGGGCACCCACACCGTATCCAGAAACGGCCAGGAAGCGGTGTGGGGTGCAGATGGGCCTCTGGGGTGCACACGCTGTATCTAGGAATCAGGAGTGGGTGCAGACGGGCCCGTGGGGCACCCACTCCGTATCCAGAAATGGCCAGGAAGTGGGAGTGGGGTGCAGATGGGCCTGTGGGGCACCCACACCATATCCAGGAAGCGGGAGTAAGGTGCAGATGGGCCTGTGGGGCACCCACACCATATCCAGAAATGGCCAGGAAGTGGAGGTGGGGTGCAGATGGGCCTATGGGGCACACACACCATATCCAGAAATGGCCAGGAAGCGGGAATGGGGTGCAGATGGGCCTGTGGGGCACACACACCATATCTAGGAAGCAGGAGTGGGGTGCAGGTGGGCCTGTGGGGCAAACACACCATAT